AAAGGGGTGAATTTTTATGGTATGTAAATTAAGTCTCAATAAAGCTGTTGGGGTGGGGGTAGAAAGCCATAGCCTGCATTGAAAAATGGCTCATCTTAATCGAGGAGCCCCGGTAGTGCAATAGTTAACTGTTGGGCAGCTTGAACCCACCCAAGGACTTCCTGGGAGAAAAGACCTGGGATTTGCTCCCATAAAGAGTGCAGTCTAGAAGTCCTATGAGGCCATTCTCCTCTGGCCTATACAGTTGCTATGAGTCAGAGTTGACTCAATGACAACAGGCTTCGTTTGGTACGGGAATCTTTTCCGTGTCTGGGTGTTAGAATGTAAACTCCATGAGGGCAGGGCCTATGTCTGTCTTGATCAATGGGCTGAGGCTGGCACGCTGCTGGGCACAGAGGCAGAGCTTAAGAAATATTGTAGCCAATCAAGTATCTGCTGTTTTGCTGAACATCCTTCCACCCCCCACCCCACACTGAATCCTGTCACCTCACTGAGCCCTCCTCTCTGGGCACCTTCCCTCACAGACCCTCTGTTCATCACAGTCCATTCAGGCCCTTCCCCTTTTTTCCCCTCTCAGATCTGACCCCAGTGCACAGGGTGGGCTTAGAGACAGTCCGTCATCCCTTCCTAGAGGCCCAGGGACCAAGGCCATTCAAGCGGCACCCAACACAAGTGGCTGGGGCCCTGTCCAAGCAACAGAAGGCTCCAGGCCAAAGAGAACCTGCCTGACTTCCAGCACTAGGCCTGAGGAACCAGTGGCATGAGCCACCCACCACTTTTGCTAAGAGTTGACAGGCCCCTGCCACCTTGAGGAGTCTCCCAGAATCGCATGAGGACTCTAAGCTGCCATCCTCCCATCAGCCTCTCTGGGGCTTGGCCAAGGTGTGCTCCAAACCTGTGGGCTCCCTGCCTGGGGTCCAGGTCCCTGCTGGTCTCTGGGAGGAGGAGCAACTGGCTCCCTAGGCATCAACCTCCTCTCCTCCACCCCACCCTCATTTGGTACCTGCTAATCCTTTGCATGCGGTCTGGCTGCCAGCAAGCCAATTAATCCCCGCTGTGTCAGAGAGGTCCAGCTACAAGTGGCCAGGGAAGGAGATTCCTTTGGTCGGCATCTGAGCAGGTAACCCAGGATGACAGAGACGCTCATTGGGCCCTGGATAGGACCCCTGTGCTCCCCTTTAGCAAGGCCTTTAGAGACAGGCGGCAATGGGGCTCCTGGGGCTCCCTTGTCCCCTGCACATGCATCAGAACCTCCAGGGGAACTTATGAAATGCAGATCTAGAGCCTCACAAAGGGTGCTGGGAGCCTAGGAATCTGTGTTGATTCCTCATCAAAGTGGAATCAGCGAGGATGTGGCTAAAAGGTGGGAGGGCCCTACGCAGACTGGATCCAGGAGGAAACGGCTGCCGGGTGGGGAAGAAGAAAAATTAGGGTTGAGGAAGGCTTCCCTAGTCATTTCAGAAAGTTCTGAATGTGAGCTAGAACTGCCACCTGTTGGGAAAAGGTCTGCAGAAGAGGCCAACACTCAGTACCACCCAAGGGAGGTGCAGAACGTCTGGAATCAGCAGATCTGAGGACGAACGCAGCTTGGCTGCTTGCTGGCTGTGTTGCCTTGAGCAGGTTTGTTGGCCTCTCTGTGCCTCCGTTTCCTCAGCTGTAAAATGTTGATGTTGATACTTCTTTTACTAGGGGTGGAATGTGGGAATGAGCTTGGATGTGATCATGGCTGGAGAGGTCAGTTCTGGCTTGCAGGGAGCATTCACATTAGGGCTGGCTGCCATGGCTGGCTGGGGCCACTGGAATCTGTGACTTCAAACATTGACCTTGGGCTCTGTAGATCTTGGAAATCACTGTGCCTACCCCTTTCCCGAGTCTCTGGGTGGGGTGGCGCAAATGGTTA